TGTAAACGTGTACGTGTGACGTTCGGCGCCGCTTTCCCGTAAGCCTAAAAGTTTGACGATGGTGTTTGGAATGTCGAGTGTGATTCCACCGACTATCCAAACACCATTGTCAAACTTTTAGGCTTACGGGAAAGCGGCGCCGAACGTCACACGTACACGTTTACACGTTTAAAACGTGCGCCTCAACCTCTCTATTAATTTACAATGATGCTAAATGTTATATTTCAATAAAAATTTTAATGATTTTAAAAAGTTACAATTGAAAATAATAACTGTATTTTATAATTTAAAAACAAAAACTATTTTTCATCATTACAAATTTTATATATAATAAACAAGGGTTATTTTGTGACACAGTGAACTTACCTAATACTAAAGCTAGAAAGTATAGGACATAATATTTTCCACTGTTGATTTTCCTTCTAACCAAGAAATCAAGTAGTGAATGAAGTGTGTGATACTTTTTTCAGTTGTAAGAAAATAAAAACAGTTGATATGTTAATAGTATGTTTAAGTCAAAATATTATTCTTTCATATAATTATCTATAAATACAATTAATTTTTATAAATTGATTTTGTGACAGTACAGTCAACCCCCTATAACGCAGTAGATACGTTCCGCTTTATAAGAATTTCGCATTGTAGAAATCCTCAAATACATGAGCCAATCACAGCCCGGCACGTGTGCAGTTTACGGACTATGGCTGTCTGAAAGGTTTTCTTCCATAAAATTAATCGATTCTAGACTAATTTCACTCAACATTTCCAAAACATGTATAATTTTTTGGGAATAATCTGTATAAACTATGCTATAAACAAAAAACTGTAGGATTACTTACCGAGTGTGCACCGTTCGACCACGCCATTGCTTAAGCTTGTTTTTGTCGCGGAGCAGTGCACCAAACGGCAACTGCATTTTCTGATAAGTTATTTTTCTGCGAAAAATTTGCTGAACTTTGGAGACATCATTAATAGAAATAATTTTTATGGCCATTGAATAAGAAATGTTTTTTCACAAGAAATGTATAGACTTACAGTACCCAATTTAGGCCTATATACTGTACAGACGATAGTAAACTCAACTTACCCACCTAAACTCTCCGTAGTGTGTAAGTAGTTCAGCTGCCCATCCACTATTGGTCCAGATTCGACCAATCCTGTTGTGACACGAGTTGGCGATGACGTTTTACCGAATTATAGGAGTCTCTTTTAGCGTCTTTATACAAATACGGTCGCAATTTTTTTACCGCGATATACGAATCTGCATTATATGAACCCGCGTTATAGGTGGTCTACTGTATATACAAAGAATCTGATGAAAGCATAAAAAGTGAAATTGGAGAATTATGAAATGCAGACAACAAAATAAAATATTCCATATAATGAAAATTTAATTTAAAAAATGAAAAAAAATTTGGTAAATACATAATTGTAATTTTTGAAGAGAGGTGGAATTATAACAGAAGTGAAAAAAGTGATGCACAAGTAAGTGTAATGGAGTCTGTTGGAAAATATTGGCAGTGGTCTGAAGAAAAAGAAATGTCTGATTACCTATCTTGATCATTTTATTTTATTGCTCTTTTATTCTTCAAAAAAATTTCCTACATTCAATATCACATTGTCAACAAGTTTCAGTTTTAGTATTTATTAAAAGATAAAAAATTGTTTGTTTTATGATAATTAATAAGAGTTACTATTTCTAATGAATGATTTTTGTTTCCCATTTTCCTTTCTAAGTTACTAGCAAATACTACAGAGTAATATTCTGGCATGGAATTCACTATGGATTTAAGCTGCAAACAGTCACAAAGTTACGTAAAATGATGGGGTAAAATTATGACAAATATTTTCCACAATATTTAAAATAATAAATTATCAATTAAAAACTCTATGTGTAAAGAAAGGAAAATGTTTCATCTTTCTAAAATGACAACTAATAAAATACTTGGTCCAATCATCCAGTAATTAACACTAAAAAAAAATGTAAAAAGTATCACAAAATAACCATGGTTTACCATATTTTTAATGTTTACAAGACTAAAATTATAAAATGAAATGCTTAAGTAGCTGTATTATTTGGATATAAAGTATATTTTAAATTTAAATAGTACTATGAAAGTATAAGAACAATTTTATTATAAATACTAAATTCTGTTTATATAATTATTAAAAATGTAAAATAAATTAATTATATAACAAACCTCAAGTGTTTCACTCTCTACAAGTGTTCTGTACTGTAAACTAGTTGTAGCTTCTAAATGAAGTAACTGACCATTGATTTTAGTAGAGAATCCATTTTCTTCAACAATCCAAGGAATTGTTATTTCTAAATATGACCCTGGCCTAGTTGTCATATGAATAGCATTGGTTTCCTTAATTATGAAAAATCAGTTCATATTAAATACAGAATGGGAATAAAACTACAAAATTAGATATGCTTAAGCTTGATTTCTCATAAATCAAAAATACAAGTGCTTTCTAAAATATGAATTTAATATTACATTGTATACATTTCTGAAAACCTATAACATTTTTGAATACAAAGAGAAAAAACTAACACAGTCATCAGATATGAAATTAAATTTCAAACAACATATACAGCATATTTAACTGTATGGCTGTGTATGGTGTATTGAAATTAATTGTTTAATTAATGAAACACATTGTTTCATTAATTTCAATAATCATTTAATAACTTCTCCAACATGAAAAGTATAAATAATGATTTCTATTACATAAAGGTGAATTAATATTAAAATATTTTTATACAAAAAACAGTATACAAAGGAATTTATATAAGCATTTATAAACACTTCTATTTTATGTTAAAAATTAGGATACAATCTGATAACTATCACTTGTTAATAATAAAATAATTTAAGAAGTATTTCATCAGAACTGAATTACTAAATTAAATTACTTGATCATGCCAGTTTAAGTACTTCTTATATTTGATATTTTTTTATATAATCATTTATTGCAATCAAGTATATAATATTTAAACTTATAAAACTGTATTTTATAAATATGAAGGTCATTCTATAAGTAAAGAACGTTTGTTTCTCTAGATATTTTTATTTAAGATAACGAAAGAAAACTTATTTTACAACACACGATATCTTAGCTATTTTCTATGTAGTCACCATACAAATTTAAACATTTGTCATAGCTTATCACCCAGCTTTTCTATCCCTTCTGCATACTCAGTTACTGCCAAGTGCTTGAACCAGTCATTAACAGCCTCTTTCAGTTCTCATTGTCACTTCCTTAGTGATTCCCGAACAAAAAAATCCTTCAATTTTGGGAAAAGATGGTAATCACTAGGAGCAAAGTCCGAGCTATGAAGAGGATGTTCAAAAATGTTCCACTTAAACTGCTGAGGCAAGTTCTTCGTCAATGCAGCAGCATGCAGACATGTGTTATCCTGAAGAAGCACAATGCCTCTGGACAACAATCCCCACTGTTTGTTTTGAATGGCATGGCGTAGTTGGTAAAGGGTCTGACAATAGGCTGCTGCATTTATGGTCTCCCCTCTAGCAGTGGCGTACCGTAGTGCGGGTGGCAGGCGCGGCCCGCCCCGGGCGGCACTTTTTAGGGGGCGGCAAAATTGCACAATAAATAATAATAATATCTTGTAAAAATTTGAAACATCCTAATCTATACTTGCATCGCACCTACAATAGTGCTATCATCTGGACAGTCCGGGAATCGGCTCGCCATCCGGGTGAGCTAGTAATTTTTAATCCGATGAAATCCTGCGAAACCTGTTGACCTGTTTTTTTATTTTTTTTGCCTGTAAGATTCATTCGCGTTCATATAGAACTATATTAAACAGATCGCTACACTAGCACGGAATTTCATTGTTTGTTCTTTGACAAAACTGAATTTTGGTCTTTTAAATTGAAATACCTAAATAAGGGGGGCCAAAATTTTCCTCCGCCCCGGGCAGCTGACACCCACAGTATGCCACTGCCCTCTAGGCATTTAGTCAACAAGTAGGATGCCATCCCAAAACACTGTAGCCATAACCTTTTTGATGCTTAGAATTTGTTTGGCTTTTTTTGGTCTTGTTGGAAATCCAGAATGATGCCATTCCATTATCTGGCTCTTTGTTTCTGGAGTTTTTTCTGAAATCCAGGTCTCATCACCAGTAATAATGTGGTTCAAAAACTCCTTGCCATCCTTGTTGTATCGACAGAAAAAAGTCAGTGCAGCTCCCATCCGATTTTGTTTGTGATCATCTGTCAAAAGATGAGGAACCCACCTGGCACACTTTTTTGTAGCCCTAATCACCACTAACAATGCCATAAAGAATTGTTCTTGAAATTTCAAGAAAGAATGAACTAAGTTCATCTATAGTGAAACGTCTATCCTGTTGAATTTTTTCCTCAATCCTTGATTTGAGTTTGTCAGTCACAACTTTAGGTCGGCCCAAGTGTTCTTCATCATAAATATTCGTTCGCCCACCATTAAACATGATGCACCATTTTTGAAGTGAAGCTTCATTCATCACATTACCATAAACCTCAATTATCTGTCTGTAAATTTTGATAGGGCGGACTTTTTTGCATTCAAAAAAAGTCCACCCTATCGAAGTCAAGTGTGAGGTTTGTAGTATAATATGCTTTTTTGCATTCAAAAAGCATATTATACTACAAACCTCACACTTGACAGGACCTTTAATTTGGTCACACATTTCAAAGTCACACTATAAACAGTAAATGATCATTGCAGCTCGCTATTAGTGTCAGACTGGCGCGAAAAAATGGGAAGGTCAATTATCCATGATGTGGCAGTGAGGGTGGTGGGAAAACTGTGTAGCTCATCAGATCAAAACGTTCTTTATGTTTAGAATAACCCTTGTATTTTAAGATTTTTATTTAATTATAAATTCTAAAAAGATTCATATCAAAGATATAATTTGACTCATTTTTAATATCAGTCTTTTAATGACTTACTTCATTTCATATTTAGCAATTATTTTTTGACATAATGTGATAAGCCAATGACATATCAAAAGTAAAACTGTATATAGATTGTTTACATGTAATACTTAGTCATAAGTTATAAGCACAATATGTTTGACAATATGTCTAAAATACTATTAATGAAAGACATAAAATTAATACCTTTTCTTTAGAAAATAATATATCAATAGTTGCTTCAGCAAGTGTACTTAGTCTTATATCAAAAGAATGAAATTGTCTTTTATCACCAACTTCTGATTTTTTTGTTGGCACAATTGGTTGATAATCCTGAAACATTAATAATATTCTCAAATACATATTATTTTTATTTAAAACATATAAACTAGCTTCTAAATGTGTCATATATTTTATACAATGTTATAAAATATTATTTATTAGAATTAAAAATACATAACATATCTAATTGCTTGCTTTCAAATTTAATCAGATAATCTGTATTTAAATTTTAATTCAAATTAAATTTGTTTTTTTATTAACTTACTCTGTCAGTTTGTCCATATAAAATCTTGCAACTCAATTTTCACCCACTTCCCAATTTCTGATCTAGTTGAAACTTTGCATACACATGTATTCCCAAAGACAATACATTTTTTAGAGTTTGCAAACAATTTTAGCAATTAGCAAAAACTGAGCAATAAATTAAAATTTGTAAATAAAAGCTGATAATAGATGGTATTACACATAACTTAATAAATTGTCCCCTTTTTATGCATACTGTCTACATAAAATCTTATAACTCACTTCCCAATTAAAATCTTCTAAAAAGAATAACTTATAAAACTAAAAAGTAAAAATATAAAAAATTTTTAAAGAAATGTTTTTTATTTACATAAATTCATTAAAAAGTAAAAAATATATTTTTTCAGGTTTCACATATTCTTGGTATTATGCAACCAAAAATAAAGTGTGGGGCACTAATGTTTATAAATGTTCTTAGTTACACTTTCCATCATTTTCTGAGGGCTTCCCCTTTGGTCACATAATATCAAGAATACTATGAAAGCTGGAAAAAAAATTATATATTTAAAAAAACTAAAAGTAAAAATATGTTAATATATATATATATATTAACATATTTTTACTTTTAGTTTTTTTAAATATATAATTTTTTTTCCAGCTTTCATAGTATTCTTGATATTATGTGACCAAAGGTAAAGTGTAACAGAATATTTCTAAACATGNATATATATATATATATATATGTTTTATTTTCATATATTGTAAGATATTTTCATACATAAAAATATTTTACAAGAGGGGAAAACTTTGAAAAATAATCAAAAAGATATAAATATAATTGGAAAAAAGACTAATGTTAAAAGTAACATAAATTATCATTAATTAAAACAAATGTAAATTCAATTAATTTATTAAATCCAACTACTTTTGTAAATTATTAATATATAAACAGTGAATAAAGCTGTACTTTATTTATGTTTATTTCCACTTCTCTTTAAATTTTTGAGTCTTATAATCTTTGGAAATTCTTGCATAAGTCTTTAGTTAAAGTTTAAAAATGAATATCCAAATTTGCATTTAATTTCTGTTGTTATTTTATAATTAAAACAAAAAACCTAGACATAATATACATTTCATTGTATGTATTTAAATAAATTATAGATTTATGTTGCATATAACAGATTATAAAAGCAATTATGTAAATAAAAAAATATATTTAGTTAATTTAGTTAATATAATTTACATTTTGGTATGTTATAATTTTTACATTGTATATGTGTATTGCAGGATATGTACACATATATGATTAGATCACAAAAATGACATTTACCTGAGGGAAAAAGAATTTATACAATTGTTCTCGTTGTCTATCTGCCCATGGTCCATAACTAAAATCAGTACCTTTTCCACACTTGATATCTAAACCCCAACAAGGATTTGTAGTTTTTTGAACAATGTCACCATTTGCAAGTTCCACCATTTCAGGTTCAGATGATACATTTCCTTTAATAAAATAAAATTAAATAATTTCAAAATATATTGTATATATAAATTATGTGTTCTGAAAGTAAGTTCTAATTAAGCATGTAGTCTGTGCATTTGGTATGAGTCAAGTTTTGTTAACATTATTCCAGAAGTGAAGAAAGAAACATCAGACTTACTTGTAGTTTTCCTACATTTATCAGACATTAATAACTGTGTTAGAAAAAGCAAAATAAACAAAAATCCATTGTATTGTGAGACAAGGTCAATAATCAGATTTTTAAATGCTCATATTTACTCTGTTAAAATTTATCATTAGAATTCTGAGATATGTTTTGACCATGCAATAAGTGAAAGAATATTGTAATAATAATGTAGCAGTAAGGAAATAAGGACAAATCAAGAAGGACAAATGTACATGATGAAAAATAAAGTTGTTTGTCCATATGTTGTGACTGTTGATCTGGTTGAACAAGTATAATAATGAAGAGATGATGACATCTGTGCAAGAATCTGGTGAGACTTCTTTCACAAAACAATAAAATCATGTAACTAAATTTAAAAGGTGACTCGATTTCAAAGGCAATTTTGTTTAAAAGTAGGTAAATATCTGTGTTAACTTTTAACAAGAAAAAATATACAAAATATTTTCTTTGTATCATCTAGGGTCGATTAGAACTTACTTTAAAATATATAAAGATAGAATATGAGATATATTTGTAAACATATAGCAAGTAGTTTATATCATCTATTTGCTATAATTTCAATACATATATAACAAGTTTTTCAGAATTATTCTTATATTTTAATGAACATACAAAGAATTTTTTTCTATAAACATATAAAAATTGACTTTTATTGAAATTTATGAAATGATCTGAAAACAATTCAGATTTTCTAAAATCTGAATTGTTTTCAAAATCTGATTTGATTTAAAAACTTAATTTGCTATAAAAGATTTAATAAATAGTAATAAAAAAATGAAATTTACAACTATAAACAAAAATAGCATATTTTTGATAAATCCAGAAAATAAAAATTTAATTGCATACAAGTTCATCTCAAAGTAAAAACTTAAAAATATTATTTCTATAAATGAAAATCAATGCTTTTTTTTTTTGTTGTTTTTTTAAAACAGATAAGTTATTTCATTGCTTAAGGTATTTTCCATGTGCTAAGACAAAAGCTAAATGTACATATTAATTAAAATGTTCTGTTGAATTTAGAAGTGGTGTAGTCAATTTTTAAATATATTTACATTTTGCACAGCAAATCAAGATGAAAGTTGTTAGCATAAAGTAGCTATTGATGCAGTTTAATTGAAAAGTGTTGTTCTCTGTGACATATATACTAGAACTAAGTGAATATCATTTATTTCTGAATTTGTAAAGATATGGCTGGAAAAATATTGAATGGTGAAAAAGAAATAAAAGCTGAAGTCTGTAATTACTTATAAAATCAGACTGCATTGTTTTACAAGTATGTAACTTCAAAAAACTGGTTTATAGGATATATAAATGTATAGAATTACAGAAATAGTGTAAAATGATTAATTTTTTAATAAACTGGAATTTTTGTTTTTATGTATTTTAAATATTGTGAACAGCAAGTTTTTATTTTCATATTTGCCTCATAAAATAATAAAACCCAAGAAAAAAATTTAAAATTATTTAAAATATTTGCAGAAATACACATTCTAATTATATAATATGTAAAAGAAATAAATTTATTTCTAAAAACATTCAGATATTAAAATAGGATAAACAGATACAAAGCAATGCTATATTAATTAACTTAAATACCAGGTTCATCTTGATAATAATATAAATCCACCATATTAGATTGCAAGACAACGAAACCTTCTCCCATAAAACGAGGTGGTTCATCAGAGAGTCCAGTATACTTTGGACTTGGTGCAAGAATAACTTTAAAATTTTCAGCTTTACACTTGGCAATATGTGTAAATTTATCCAAACGAGAAGAGGCTGGTTTAGTAGTATATGTGATATGGCCTTCTTCAAAAGCAATAGATAATGTTGTAGGAACTAAACGATTCCCAAATACTAACCGGCCCTGCAAATATATAAATAAATAAAAATCAATTTTATAATTTGCAAAATAAACATATATAAAACAATAAATAATTTTATTAAAATAATAATAATTTACTTATACATTTTTTTTATATATATTTACATCTTTAGATGTCTTATTAAACACACAAAAATCACTGACTACAATTTTTTTAGATAATTATAAATATATCCTTTTCATTAAAAAAAAATTGTCATCATCTAGATAAAATTAAAACAAATAAAAGCATATCATTTACAAAGCCATTATGAATCTCATGATATAGTAAAGCATACAGATTTGCTAATATATAATCTCAAAATTAGTACTTGCACCTAACTAAGACCTGGACTATTTTCTTCTACCAGAATTATCATCAAAATTAAAAAATTGAAACCAGAATTAGAAAAAGCTTCAAATGTTCACTTTTTATTTTGAAGAGTATTTCCGTGTTCTATTTCTAAATGTTCAATATCCTCACAATGGTCTATTGCATAGACTGAAACATTAGATTTTTAATAAAATATTACTGTTTATGGTGGATTTGTTTGCTTAATGGTTAAAGCACTATTTGTGTCAAATTATAAGTTCATAATTCAGTAATAAACTGAATTTTGGTAAATAATTGTTCTGGTTAAATTCAGTTTTATAAAACTTTTATAAATAAAAAAATTTTAAATTGAGAGTATGTAATCTGTAAAACTTTAAAAGCTTTTATTTTATTCAGTTTTTCAAAAATTCACTTTTTTCCTCTTACGCATATTAATTATAACTATGTATTACTGTATGTTGTGAATTCAATAGTATCCAATCTTCACGTTTTTCATTGCATTTGGATTTGTTTGTCACATTTGCCATATACTACTAATCATTTTTTATCTTCTCAACATTCAAAAGCCTTTGATAAGATAATCTATAAGTTATTATCACAAATAACTGTTTAATTATAACTGTGATGAGCTGGATAATTTAAAGCTGATCAGGTGCAATTTGGAAATAAAAAGACTATATGTACAGTACCTATTGAAAAGCTAATTTATTCTGAATCAGTGCATCTATTTCTCAAATAATATTTCAGATTTTATTTGATCCATATTCAGTTATATCTGAAAGTAAATTTTGAAAATTTTGCAAATTACATGTATTAAATATATTTAATCTCCACTAATCTGGAATATTTTGAAATTGCAGTTATCTTTTTTAAACTAAGTAGCTAATAACTCTGTAAAGAATAATTTAAAATAAATCATTAATTTTGAATTATAATATTATCTTTTGTATAATAAAGAACAAATAGATATATTTAAATTCACTTACAGTTGAAATATCAACTTTTATAACAGGTATCAAATCCCGCCATTCATATCCTTGTTGATCGGATGTCTGTTCTGTTGCAGTAGGATTTTCTCCTTCACCTGATCCAGAATCCTGCCAATATGGATCTGAACGTGTTGGAAGTATTCGAGGTTCCAGTCCAAATAAGTGTTCCAAACGAGCATACAGCTGAGATCTATTATATATGTGTAATTCAAATCCATTAAGAAGAATTGAAATCCGAGTATCTGAATGTGAAAAATCTGTCAAGAAAATTAATTTAATTAATTTTACATTAATTAAAACACTAATAAGATCAAAGATTAACATGTTAATCTATATATATAATCAAAATGGGTTGATAATAATAATAATAACAATTTGATAATAATAATAATAAGTGCAGAGCCAAAAAGTTAGGAGATGAAAGTTGAAATTTGGTACACAGTTAGAGTACATCATGAGAATGTACACTAAGAAGGAATTTTTGGAAATTCCCCCCCCCCATGAGGGAGAGAGTTAAGAATTACCCCAAAGAACTTGGCTTCTACTGTACTATTTTAGATATGGTTTTTTGTGTTTTTGCAGGAAATCAAACATATTTTTAGACCCATCTAAAAATTCTCTAATTAGCCTTGGAAGAGGGGAGACCTAATTCTAGCACCCAGTGAAAATGGGAAAGATCAAATATATAACTAAAAAGGTTATCTTACATAAAGGTTTATCACACCGAATGACCAATCAAACATATTTTAAAAATTCTTTATTCCTCTACTGTACACAATTTAAAGAATTTTTTAAATGTTTTAGATTGGACACTCGGCATCATAAACTCTTATGTAAGATAACCTTTGTAAACATAAATCAAATACTATAATATTATATAGCAGAAAGGTTAGAAGTACAAAATAACTAATAATCTTAGTCTTTGCTGTTGTTATTTTTTGCCCAAGCAATGCTAAGGTCATCTACTAGTTTTATCATAATTTTAGCATTACAAAACTAATAATTTTAAATATCAGTAAATTAAATCTATTATTAACATAATAATAATAATAAATAATATAATTATTAATATTTCAATAGTTATTATTAAATCCTATAAAACAAAAAAGTTATTTATACTTTTAATTAATGCCAAAATTTACTATTAACTGAATTAGCTTTTGAACTCTTTCAAATTTAAGCGTAAATACAAAACTTCTCCTTTAAAATATTTTTATATTTTAATATAATGTGAAAATTATTAATTTAGCTTTTAATTAATTTTAGAATAAGTTTAATACTGTATTAATGAAATAATATTCCTTCTAAAATTTATTTAATATAATTAGTTTACAATAAATAGCTTTAATTTTAATTAAATTAAAATAGTTAATGAAAAAAATTATTACTTGCTGAAGGAAATAAAAGTTCAAAAATGACAACCACTAATAAGATAGAAAAACCATGGATAATACATTATCAAAGCGAATGTTATAATTATGTCTTCCTGTTATGTTTTTATAGCAGATAGACATTATAACATTTAAAAATGGGATTTTCAGTTCTTAGTTTTTAATAAATAAGTATTTTATAAAATATAATTCTGTAATTATTAAATAATTTATTTGAAAGTGATTATATCTTTTATCTTAATTCCTGTATCAAATAAAAGTGATTTTAATTGAAAAATAAATAAATATATTTATTTATCACATATCAAACAGAATTAAGATAATTAATCATTTATTTTCTTTTTAGAGTTAGTCATTATCTAAACTGTCAGCAATAAATTCATAGAATTTTTGAATAAATTTGAAATTCTTTACTAAAAATTGAAAGTTATATAAACTCAAAAATTTTATTCACTATATTTGAAAGTCTTCAAAAATGAAATTTAAATGTAACAGCCTTAATTAATTAATATTCACACATCGCATTTTGTTCATTTGTTACTTGTAATTTCAAATTTCACAAATTAACATTTTCAAATTTTTACATTGGTAAATTATATTTATTTTTTTTTGTGCAAATAATTAAGTGCATGCTTCACACTAATCTCCAATTAAAGTTAACCATAATTCATTAAACTTATTAAGAGATTACAGCCTCATGAAAATAGGCCGTTCATAGTTTGAGTCAGAAAAAGAACAGTTTGTTATTTTCTAAAAAAATTTTTGAATGAATTGAATCTTTCCCATAAGCCTATTCATGGTACTTGTGCTCTCCTGTGTAATCCACAAAAAGGCAATAGAAGAGTAGGTAAAATGTGATGGGAATTGAAGAGTAGGTAAAATGTAGTGGGAACTGAAGAGTATGTCTCCATTCCCCACCACATTTTTGATGGGAGAGCTTTGTCAGAAATTTTAGACAGTTCTGTCCCACAAAACATTATTGACCCAGAATACCACTGAAAATATGACATGTTTAAGCTAGGAATATCATTTTAAACATACTATATATATTCAACAAAACACACCCAGCAGGGAAATAATACACAATCCAAATACATCTTAAACTGCTGAGATAATTTATTAAAACTAAACAAACGTTTTCAACCTATTCAATAGGGTGAAAATGTTGTTTTAGTTTTAATAAATTATCTCAGCAGTGTAGTAAGGTTTATTTGGATTGTGTATACTATATATAATTATTTTATTTGTCAAAATTCAGTTATAGCAATGAAAAGAGCAAAAATTTATAGCCTGCTAACTACAGGTATAGGACAAAATAATAGAAACACATGTGAAAGAATGCAAAATATTTATTAGTAGGGATTTGGGCCACCATTGGCCTGAATTACAGCTTGTATCTGTCAGAAAATTTAAGGGAATTTACAGCCATTCCTCTTGCAGAATGGTCTCAAGTTCAGGTAGTATGCGTGGAGGAGGAAACCGAGCATGGAATTTGTTCTCTAAAATCACCACTCAGACTCAATGATGTTGAGATCAGGGGACCAAGGATACCACATGAGATGTTCCACTTTATCATTATGCTCATCCAATGTTTGAACACAGCGAGCTGTGTGTACAGTGGCATTGTCATCTTGGAATAGAGGACGTTCTCCAGGAAACAGAGTATGAAGCATAGGGTGTAAATGATCTGCGAGAATACTGTGATAATGCTCGCCTCTGACCTTCTTCCTCAGAACTACGAGTGGCCCCAAGCCACACCACAATATCACTCCCCACAGCATCACAGAGCCCCCTCCATGCTTCACGGTAGGAACCAGACAGTCAACATGAAATGCCTCTGCCAGTGTTCGCTGGACGAACACACGTCCAGTTGTCTGAAATAATGTAAATGATGATTTGTAAGACCAGATAACCTGTTCCCATTGTTATTGCGTCCAGTTTCGGTGGTCTCGGCACCACTGTCATTGCTTCATAGCATTCTATGATGACACTAACAGCTTTGGAATGGCTACTCGGCCATGAATGCTCGCAGCATGCAGCTCCCGTTGAATAGTTTTGGTGGATACAGGGTTCTGGAGATGGGTGTTCATCTTGGAGGTTATCTGCTGCAGTGTAGTCTTACGTTTTCAGGCGACTATCCTCTTCAACACTCATCTATCCTGGTTGGTCAACTTCGACTTTTGTCCAGGGTTCTGCTTCGCAGAGGACACCTTTCCCAGTTTTGTGTAGGCTGTCATAACCCTTGACACAGTGGACCTTGAAACACCCATAAGGTTGGCTACTCTAGTCACGGACTATCCAGTGAGGTGAGCTCCAATAATCATGTCTCTTTGCACGTCGGACAGGTTGGACATAATGGTGCTTTGCTGGGAACAGAATTTTCTCATGCAACTGTCACACCACCAAATGCTCATCTGATACCTTCCCTTTCACCGCCACTAGATGGCAGACTGCTATGACACGTGACAGAGCTGTATTGGACAGTCAGAGTACAACACATTTCAAAAGGGGTGTTCCTATTATTTTATCCTATACCTGTATATTATTATTATTGAGTCATCAATGAGTTGAGTAATTGCTCATTAAAAGTGTTCTTAGAAAGTTCATCTTTCATTAGACAGACTATAAATATGTAAAAATACAGTGGTACCTTGTACTTCAAACACTCTAACCTTGAACATTTCAGAGTTCAAACGCAATCCAACAAAAATTTACCTCAGAGTTCGAACAATGCTTTGAGGTTCAAACTGTGTGCGCAGTTAAAAAATTAAAAAATTTTGAAGCATAAGCACAATCTGTTATCTGTCCAACTCATCTCTCATTCTCATGTTATGTTTGTATCTTTTCATTGCTTTTTCACTTTATTTTTGGTGTGTTTGGTTATTTAATACTGTATTGTGTGTTATTCGTCAATTTTTAACAATTTCTTCCTATAATGTTTCTTTGTCAGCAGCTTTTTGGGCATCACCTATGATTTGTATCCTGTAATTCAAAATTTCCTGAACAGAACTTTTTAAATCACATTTGGCACATTCAAATTTTAAGAACATCTCCCTAATATAGATTACAATTGTTTTCACTGTTTGTACAGCGTTATATCCTTTTCGAAACTCATAAAGCATAGTATGCCCAATATGCTTTTTATCCAAATACTTGATTTTATTCAAACAAAGTACAAAGTAAAGATTTTAAAGTAAGATTCTAAACAAGGGATAAAATCTAACATTATCTACAATTTGTTAAATTTCACAACTGTTATAATTAAATCACACACCTATGTTAAGACGCTGGAGTCCAACATGTGTGACCAACAAATGCAGTTTTCATTTTATTATACTGTATTTACATATTTTATTCATGTTTTCATGCTTTAATTTATTATTAATACATTTAATTGTTGTTTTTACCTTAAATTATGTGTATTTGCTGTTTTAAGTTTATCGAAATGGGTATTGTTCAAGGTCTGGAAATGGATTAATTCACTTTCCATTATTTCTAATGGAAAAAATTGATTTGGACTTTGAATGATTCAGTGTTCAGACAAACTCATGGAATGAATTAAATTCAAAGTATGAAGTTGTACTGTAATAATAAATGTTGAAATAAACTAAAAATACCTAAGTAGGAAAAAATTTTAACATAAATAATAACTGTAACATATTTGATGTTTAAAGAGCTACTTGAAGTCAGGACAAATTCATAATGTCAACATGTATTGTAGGCAAGGCTTTTGACAGTTATAAGTGTCACGTTAGGTATAAAGTAAATAAGTGGTAAATAAAATAATTGCCACTAATGTCATCATTGTTGACTTTACTAAGAAAGTTGCATGTCTACTACAACATCCAATGACACAAGTTCAGAAA